GGGCTGTTGAGCTAATATAATGGTGCTGTAGTGATGCTGTAGTTCTGTGTGTTGAAAGGCAGGGGGCAGCACTGGACTGCTGATGGATCTGGCCGCCAATGAGAAGGCCGTACATTCAGACTTTTTCAACGGTGAGACTCACAAAGTTATCTGATGCTGTACAGTACATCGATCAGTTACTTTCCTTGACCTTTCCAATGGTTTGTCATTACTGGATTTTCTTATTAAATTTTTATAATGAAAATTCTTAGGAAATATTTTAATTTGTATATACAGATAAATACTTCAAAGAGCAAAACATGCAAATTTAATTGATTTCCCCCCAAGATTTATTTACTTTTCTAGGCCTGGAAATGTATATTTTTAAATTCTATGTGGAAATTATGTAATAACTGGAATAATTAAGATTTTTAATGTTTTTTTTAAATAAATCTATAATGCTCATTATTATTATTTTAATGTATTTTAAAATGTAATTTATTTCTGTGATGGCAAAGCTGAATTTTCTTTTTGCTGATTTGCTGCTCAAGAAACATACAATTAACAAAATTATTATACAATTAACAAAAGCAAAAAAGACATCTAACACTAGCTTGCTCTATTCTTTTTCTATACTATCTGTTTTCTTTTTATTTATTATATTATTTAAAAACAACCTTGCTACGTGTACTGCGTTAAGCTAACTGAGACTTGTTATAGCACTTGCATATCATTGCTCTTTTGTTGATTTTGATTGCTTCCATTGAACTCATTTGTAAGTCGCTTTGGATAATTGCTCTATTCTTTTTCAATACTATCTGTTTTCTTTTTATTTATTATATTATTTAAAAACAACCTTGCTACGTGTACTGTGTTAAGCTAACTGAGACTTGTTATAGCACTTGCATATCATTGCTCTTTTGTTGATTTTGATTGCTTCCATTGAACTCATTTGTAAGTCGCTTTGGATAAAAGCGTCTGCTAAATGAAAAATAAAATAAATAAATAAAAGATATTATTATTATCAATGTTGAAAACAGTAGAATCATCCAGTTCAGCAGTTAAAATCTGCTTCATATTTTTGTGGACACTCTCATACATTTTTAAGATTCTTTGATGAATAGAAAGCTCAAAGAAAAATAAAATGAAAATATTCTGTACATTATAAATGTCTTTATTGTCAGTTTTGACCAATTGAATGCATTCTTGCTTAAAAGTATTGATTTCCACAAAAATAGGAAGTAGCACAACTGTTTTCAACAAAAAGAAACGTTTTGAGCAGCAAATCAGCAGATTAGAATGATTTCCAGAGGATCATGTGACACTGAAGACTGAAGTAATGATGCTGAAACAATTCTGCTTAGCATCATTGGATTAAATTACATTTTAAAATGTATTAAAATAAAAACAGTTATTATTTTACAGTGTTTTTGATCGAATAAATGCAGCCTTGGTGAGCAGAAGACACTTAAAACATTAAAAATATAATTGATTCCAAACTTTTGACTGTCAGTGTGTGTGTATATATATTTCTATGCAAAATTATTTTTAAAAACATTTTTTCAAGTTGCTGTTTTTATTTGTTTGCTTGGCAACAGAATACTGCAAAGTGCTTTAGCATGCAGACTCTTTACAATTTTCTTTACACTTTTCCGCAATAGTAAAGGTAGTTTGAGCTTGGCACAGGATGACCTAAAAACGGGCAGTAAAGAGTAAAGGAGGTATGAAGCTGAGCCCATATAAAGCACTTTATTGGGCTTCATTGGCTCCAGCGCAGCAGGTCTTCCCTCGTTAGAGGCTCTGTATCCATCTGCAGCGCTTGAAGTAGCTGAACACGTGTCATTCAGGGGCGTTTTTATCAGGGGGCCCTTTTGGAAATGGAAAAGAACCCAGAGACCCCGATAAGAGCTCATACCCTCATTTTACTGAGAACAGCATGTTTTAGATTAGGTATTTGTTCAAATTATTATTTAAAAAAGCTTCTACATATTCTGGTTTATTTTGCTATATCAAAAGTACTGTATGTATAGGTATAAAAAAAAACTTTTTTGTTTTGTGCTATTGATTTTTTTATGCTTCTTTTTTTCTGCACAGATTTTGAAGACCTGTTTGATGACGATGATATTCAGTGATGAAGAGGACAGATAGGATTTCTCCATTGTATAAAATGTTGTACATTTTAAGTGTTTTTCTTTCTTCACTTTAAGAGTGATGTTGCATTGTTAACTCTCAGTTGAATAATAAACTTTTGTGCAATACAAAGTCTTCCTTTTTCCAGATGTTTCCACATTTTATAAACCCCAGACATTCCGAGTCAAAAGTTGGAATTATTATAAACGTTTTTCCCTAGGCTGAAATCTGTTTCTAGCCCTGATTGTAGGTTTTTGCACATTCCTGAACACCTGTAAGTGTGCATAATTACATGTGCAATCCACTTTTAACATAAAGCACAGATGTTTTACACTCTGACATTGACATAATATTTTTTCTCCAAGATATATCTGAACAGACATCATAATCTGTTATCATTCACGTCAGATAATTAAAAAAGGCATACATTAATTCCTAATCTGTATTGCTGCATCACAAACAGGGTTTTAATTGTGAATGATCACTTGTAATGCCATTCTGCGCAGTTAATTGTTGGATGATGTATTGTGCTGGTGCTTGGCAGATGTGCGTATGAAATAATTCCCCATAAGGGTTTTGCCCTGTTTGCTGCAGTTGAGGGTTCAGTGCATTTACTCTGACACAATATCCACTAAATTTGATTAATCTCCATTGTTCTGTTAGTTGAAGATAACAAGCACCGTCACTTGAATTTACAGGGTCCGGACAAAACTTTTATGGGCACGTCCTCCCCCGATGTAAAGACACGTGTAGTACATTTCCAGCTGTTGATGGCAACCCTGAAGTTGTGTTATTATATGGACTTAAAGGTAACCTGCAAGCATACTCAACTTAAAGAAACAGTTCTCCCAAAAAAATTTTTAATTTGCTGAACGTACTCACTCTCAGGCCATCAAGATTTATATGAGTTTGTTCCTCATTTTGGAACAGATTAAGAGTATTTTGGCGTTTCATCATTTGCTCACCAATGGATCCTCTGAAGTGAATGGGTGCCGTCAGAATGAGAGTTCAAACAGCTGATAAAAACATCGCAATCCAAAAGCAATCGACATGACTCCAGTCTATCAATTGATGTATTGTGAAACGATAAGCTGCACATTTTCAAGAAACAAACTCATCATTAAAACACTTCAATTTGAAAGTCTATTATCCATAATAACACTCCCTCCAGTGAAAAAGTCCATCCTCTATTACCCCCTCACATCAAAATCCACCGACATATTTGTTTAGGGCTGTTTTTGTCTGTAAACAGTGCTTGATCTGTGCATATTTCTCTCCTGATTCAGACAAAATGATTTTTCACTGGAGAAAGCAATATTATGGATAGAGGATTTTAGCTGGAAGCAATGGTTTGAAGTTAAAACGTCTTGATAGATTTGTTTATTACAACCATGCAGCTTGTGCATTACTGACATTACTTGTGGATTATTGTGATGCTTTTATCAGCTCTTTGGACTCTCATTCTGGCGGCACCCATTCACTGCAGAGGATTCACTGGTGAGCAAGTGATGTAATACTAAATCATTTTAAATCTTTAAATCTGTAGAAGAAACAAACTCATCTACATTTTGGATGGCCTGTGAATTTTGGTTGAACAATTCCTTTAAAAACAAATCCGAAAACCAGATAAAAAAAAATGTTTTGCTCAAAAAGCAAAAAACATTTAATAACTGAAAGCTACAATACTAAACTAAACTTATTAAATACACCTGAGATGTATATTTTATTGCATTCACTATTTTGAAGGCAAGTAGTTTAGATATAGAAATCCAGAAGATAGCCTACACTGAATCATTACAGGTGATATTATTTTACGTATTTGCAACTAAAACAACTGCAAAAATGGGAATTTTCATGTCCTGATTTTTGTCCTTCAGCATTTTTTCTTCACCTTCTAAACACAAAACAGTTGATGTTCTTTTCTCTCCTGTTTCTGTGTCTATAAATGCAACATCTGATTGGTTGACTCGCTGGGCCAAAGAAGGCCAATCATAGGGCTGGAAGCAGCATGTACTTGGCCCTATGGGATGCACCTTTTTGTTTTTAATTATCAAGGTTGGGTTTAAATTGTGGCCAGGTTCTTAACAGTGGCCCAGTCGTTGTACAGGGTGTGTTGAGACTGTACACGAGGGGCTTGGCTAACCTTCTTCTTCCAGTCGGTCAGCTGTAGAGCTGAACTTCAAGGCCTCTCCTCAGCGGGTTCACATCATCACATCCTAACACAGGTAAGACACAGCTCAAACCCTTTTGTATGTATTTTCATTTGTATGATTATAAAGCAAATGCACATTTCTACATTTCAAAAACCCTTATAGTTTCTTTTACCAATATGCAAATGGCCCCCAAATGTTAACAGTTCTTAAACATTTGAACTTTTTTTTGCACAGTTAAATGATGGTAAGATATTTTTTTAATTGTTCTATATTTAAGAAAATATTTCAAACTTTTTGTTTGAAAAAGTTGAAAGCTGCACAAGCAAAATACTGACATTGACAAGATTATTGTAAGACAGCATAAAGAGCATAAAATTATTTGTTGAACATGTAAATTACATGTTTCTTTGTATACAGGCATTTGTAGAATGTAAAACCCAATAATTTGCAGGTAATCAAACATAGAGTGAAGTTTCTTCTACTATTTGCAGTTCTTTCTTATTTCATCAATTCTTCCTCTTAAAATTGTCAAATATTAGTTAAAATATTGCAAAATTTAGATAATCAAATATAACGGAGCAATAGGACATTCTCTCTTATAACAATTCTCATTTGCTACTGTTATTATCATCTTGAGAGGTTCATCATGTTAAAGTATGAATATGAAAATACATGCTACATTTAAATGCTAGGCCTATAAATAATTTTGTTTATCCAAAGGAGTCAGGAAGGTTAAGAATGGCTCGTTTGAGAGGATCTTCCATCTTCCATGTTTTGCTGCTAGCAGCATTATTATTACCAGGTGAGACTTTTAAATTATTATTTTTTTAATGTTAAAAAGTGTTCTTTGGTTTTCCTCACAGTTGCAGCTGTTTTTTGTTGTTGTTTTGTTTTAGAAAATTTAAATAGGAATCTTTATTTTTATTAGTTCTATGATAAAACGCCAGATCATTTAGAAGCTGCTTGACTCGATGACTTTGTATTTTCTGAGCGAAATTTCCCCAAAAGCCCTGTATCAAGCAAGGGGGTATCAAGTTTCTGAGTGCCAGGTCTTCGTTTTTTGCTCTGCAACTGGTAAAATGATTAACGGTTGTCAGCAAAACTCAAATGCACCAGGTTTTCAGATGTGGCAGCAGTTTACAAGCTCATAAAAAATAAACTTGCTGACACTCTGAAAGAGCAACATTTCCTTTACCTCCCTCAAACAAGACACTGAGAACTTCCATTCAGTCACCTCACAGTAAAGACATCCATGATCCACTCGTCCCCATTCCAGCAGAGATAAACGTCACCTTTAGAGAGAAAGTGTCAGTTCATACGTTTTTTTGACGCTAGGATAATTAGGTTCACCTGTAGGTTCAGAGGCTCCTTTCCTTTGTAGATTTTATAGCTTTTGCTTGTAGACGAGCTTGGTTACTGCGGCCCCCTGCTGCCAGGCATCAAAGTGCTGATGTGTGCTGTTTGAAGATTAATTTCCTACAATACCCTGTATATTACCACCTTCCCTTCCCCCAAAAACGTGTAAAACCGCATCCTGCTGCCCTCAGCTCATTGGGCCTTTACTGTCTGTAAGCATTTTCGACTCTGTCTTTAAAAAATGCAACATCTGGTTGAGACTTGGACCCCCTAATTTTTTCCCCTCTCCTCTTCTTCTCAAACAGAGTTTCTGTTGGCTGGCCCTGTGACCCAGCATTTAAAAGGAGATGGTAAGTTTGGCTTGTTCTCCTGTTCTGTCAGCTTCTTTATGGAGTCCCAATTCATTTATCTGTTGTATATCTACCATAAAATCTGAATGTTAGATATGCACAGTGATGTAACACATAATGTTTCTGCCAGATGGAAGTGAGGAAAAGGCAGGCTTTGAAGCAGTTCCAAAGAAACTAATCCGCAACAGGAGAAACATCAGTTGGTACAAGCAGCACTCTGACTTCTGGAGCTGGTACAAATACTTCACTGACAATGGGAACCAAGAGGGAGTGAGTACAGCATATCATAAACTAAACAGGACAACACAGCACACCTGCAGGTCTTATAAAAATTGCTCATAGTTGTTGCAAAGGTTAATCTTAAAGGGATAGTTCACCCAAAAATTGAAAATTCTGTCATTAAGTACTCACCCTCATGTCGTCCAAACCCATAAGACCTTCGTTCATCTTTGGAACACCATTCAAGATATTTTTGTTGAAATCCGAGAGCTTTCTGACCCTGCATAGACGGCAACGCAACTACCAGAAAGGTAGTAAGGACATTGTTAAAATAGTCCATGTGACATCAGTGGTTCAACCGCATGCGTCGTGGTACTCTCGTGGACATGCGTCGAAGACTGACATGGAAGAGAAGAAATTGTTGAATAAAGTTTTTTTTTGTTTGTCTTTGCACACAAAAAGTATTCTCTTAGCGTCAAAAAATTAAGGTTGAACCATTGATGTCACATGGACTATTTTAACGATGTCCTTACTACATCTCTGGGCCTTGAACGTGGTAGTTGCATTGCTGTCTATGCAGGGTCAGTAATTTGTGTTCCAAAGATGAACGAAGGTCTTACGGGTTTGGAACGACATGAGGGTGAGTAATTAATGACAGAATTTTCCTTTTTGGCTGAACTATCACTTTAAGGATGCACAATATATCAGTACCACATTGGCCCAGAATTTCAATACCAGTTACCATCTTGAGGATGATTGAGGTTATTTATGTATTTTGTGTTGGTTATATAATCCACATACTGAATCAAAATCATTTATTGTCATCTTACAGGTTGCAGAGCTGGATCGTGTCTATCTTGCATACTTGCAGAACAAGAATCGGGCTGAGGCACGTCATTCCTACAAGCTGTACCTGCAGCACCTTAGTGACATCTACAAATCTTGTGCCGAGTCTGATGACTCAAATTGTGTGGCCTCGTACACCAACAGACCCAAACCCAAAGCTGAGGCACCAGTGCCTGCCCCAGTCAAGTCTTGTGACCCTTACAGAGACCCATACTGCTTGTACTCGAAGGGATACTCATATTACCCATACATGGCTCCAGCCCCAGCCGCTGTCAAAGCCCCTGCACCTGCCCCAGTCAAAGCCCCAGCCTACATCCACACGCCTGTGGTGAAGGATCCACGTTCTGGTTACTACTACTACTCTCCGTTGGTGCAACCCTTCCTGCCAGCCGAGCAGAGGGCCGAGCTGTTGCGCATCTGTGACGCCGAGGATGTCGAGTGTCTTCAGTACCACCTCCGTGCTGCTTACGGATACAAGCCCGCTGCTGCCCTAGCCCCATCCTACGCCCATCTCGGCTGTGACCCTAAGGCCGATCCTCACTGCATCCCCCATCTGGTCCAGAAGGCGCCATCTGGTCTGTACCTGCGTTATCCCCATTGTGACCCTCGAGTTGACCCATACTGTGCTTATGCTGCTGCTCTGGCATCCTCACAAAACCTTGAAGCCCCTTCTTCTGGCTTGGAGAGACCCTGCAACCCTCTCTACGATGATAACTGCAACCCTCTGACAGCCACAAGGTTTGGCAGCCTGGCTCCTGAAGATCTGAAGGACGAGCCCGCCTCTGAAGCCGGTGCCATGCGGGCACCTCCGAGCCCTCGTCGCGACCCTTATGCCATGCACCGAGATGCATCTGCTGGGGCTGACCTGCGAAGACACCTGCCTACACATCTCCAACCTCCAAGGCACCAACCAGAGGAACCTCAACATCCTCTGGGACCCAGAGGGAAGACCAAGGAGGGATATGACTGTTTCATCGGGTATGATGAAGAGTGCTTCCCACTGGGTTTCCAAAACGAGCACCGTCCTGCTGTGCACAGACAGCCGTCCAACCCAACTGAAGCCTACGAGCCCCACCTGAATGTCGATGGAACCAGGAATGGAGTGATCGAACCTGATCCTGACTGTGACCCAGAGTACGACAGAAACTGCCGCTTGCGCCGCTACAAACCTGAGGTGGCCGAACCCGCCAGTCCATCACCTCAAGAGGAGTCAGCCCAGGAGGAATCCCACCGTGAGCAGGTCCCTCAGCATAGAGAAGAGTCCTACCCTGAGGCCCCAAGCTATGACCAGCAGCAATATGAGCCCTACATGAGCAGACAAGAGGATCCATATGCCAGATACGGCCCCCAGGAACCAGGAGCGACTAGCTTTCAGGATGTCCTGAGAGGATACGGTGGTCGGTATCCTGGTCAGGATGACCACCGTGCCTACAACGGAGACTACAGAAAGAAATAAATACCTGTGACAATGTATGCCAAGAATAGTAGATCAGGACAGAACATGTTTTTGTAGATAAATATTGCAATGCACACTTGTAGAAAAGGTGCACATGCATTTTCACAGGATTTCACTTGGTTCACTCAATATTTTTGAGAGCTGCTGAAATTTCCTAGCTCTGGAGTTTGACAGCACTTGTATAGGAAAAAAAATATTTGATTCTTATGATTTCTTGCTGATTCTTTAAGCCCATGTAATCAGATTGTGTGTTGCAGCATCTCTAGGAGAGATATTCTACTAGAGGAGCACTTGAAATAGCTCTTCGTATCTTTGTGGAGGGAAAATGACACAAAACATAGTATGTAAAAGGTGAATAGTGTACTTGAATATACTGCAACCTCTCGCATTTTGGCTTTTTCTTTGTAAATTCACCCACCCATTAACACTTCAAGTTAATATTTAATGAATTTCTGGGACCCTTGCTTATTTGTATTCTTTTTTAAATTGCCAAATTGATGCTTTGTGATTTGTTTGCATATTTGTAAGATGTTCTTCTTTGAATGTTTCAAATAAAAGCTTTAAAGATCTTGAGTTCTTTTTATTTGCAAATGCACTATTACTACTGACAAACTAGCTAATTTAACAAACAGTTTTTCTATTAATTACAATCAAATAACATTATTTAAAAAAACTGCTGGTAGAAACTGTTGTTGCTCATTTTATTGGAGACAAGTGAATTATTATGCCATCCTACTGTATTGTCATTCACAGAGCAATGCAATACTAAAAACTGATTAATTATCTCACTGTTCAACTTACTAACACACAAACAGTCAGTGATAATACAATGATCTGCACCAAATTAGCATAAAAATCCATATTTATGTGGCATCATTTGCTGGATTTCTTAGTTAACGGTCTTGGGAGTTTAGAGAAATGTTAAAACTCCACAATTAAAATGTTTCTTCAAAATCTAGAACACAGTCCAAGCTGTGACACAGATACCTTCATTAGCCTGAGAATACTTTTAATAAACATTAATAAATATAAATACTCAACAGCTGTCAAGCTATTTTGGTTCATTAAAAACTATGGCATACAAATGTCAATTAAAGAGCTGCTGCAAGATTGCAAGTCGCAAATTTAAATAAAATATAATTATAAGGTCATAGCTCAGCACATATGGTGGTATCTGACCTTGAACATTGATTAAAATATCAGCGAGGATGAAGTATGCTAAACTGCACACCAACTGCTGTACTGAGAGGAAGCCAGTTGGCTAGATGTGACATGTTTAGCGGGTGGGCAGCCAGACTCCCTATGAACATATCTGGCCTATAAATCTAAAAATGACAGGGCTTATGACAGTATCAAACACAGACACACACAGCAAATAATCTCTTCATGCTGCATTAAACTGACTGATTGTTCCGTGAGATTAAGTGAACATGTGGATACAAATACATCCACATAGACAGTGTCAGCGTCTGCGGTTGTCAGTTGGGTTGCTTAAGATTTTAGGAGTCAAAAGGAAGCCAGTGAAGGTGGAGTCGTTGTTGATATCTGCATAAATCCCTGCATCAAATATGTCATCATACAACTGTAGCCAAACCTCATCTCCAGCAGACAGATTTAAAATCACCCCTCCAGAGGCCTGATCCAGATTTCCGCTGTGGAACTGGTCAAGTGTAAAGGCCACAGTCCGGCCGTTTTTAAACATAGCTACCTTGGTCTCCTTCCCATTGATGGTAAGATGATATGTAAAGTAATAGATCCCAGGGATGGCACAGCGAAACTTTCCAGAGATGTCGTCGTAGTGGTGCTGCTCATTGTAGAAGGTTTTAGTGAAGCGGATGGGAGCTCCACTGGCCGGGCTGGTTATACCTGTGAGTCCCATGCTAAAAGCAGAGCGGTAGGGGAAGGAACCCTCTCCACTTTGTCCTTTCAGACCGGGGTTTCCGGGAAATCCTCTTTTTCCTGCAGGTCCCTCGTCCCCTGGTTCACCTGGCTCTCCATTCGGTCCTTTGGGGCCTTGACAAAGATAATTGAATAGTTTCTTTTTTTGCAGACAAACCATTTATATTGTTAACTGAGAAGAATCCATAAAGGTATATTCACTGAAGTAAGCCAATCAAAAAACAAAACTTTTTTTGAAGATTTTTTTCTCCAGTTTAGGCTGAGGGTGACATTTTTAGTTGTTGGAAATACCAATGATGTTTTTCTTGAATTTTTCTGACTTTTTCTCATTTAGGGTCATGAACATGCCTGCAAAAGTGCAGACACTCCAATGTGTTGTGGAATGTATGGACAAAATTTCTACAATTTCTATAATTTCGGTATTTGCAGGTCAAATATGATCATAGGCAGCTGCACAAACCCAAAACAGAAATATTTTATGATGGATTTTATGTCAGTTTTTCAACTACCCTGTATTTGACAGCCACTTTTACGTGTTTATTGTTTTTACTTGATTTTTTAAATGTATCATACTGTGATTTTTGATGAACTGTACTTAATCCAATTAGCGTTAATTTAGATATTAACATTAAAGTGTGGTTTATGTGTGCAAATACATTTTGTGGGCACTTAAAGGGATAGTTCAGCCAAAAAATTGAAATTTTGTCATTAATTACGCACCCTCATGTTGTTCCAAACCCGTAAGACCTTTGTTCATCTTCAGAACACAAATTAAGATATTTTTGATGAAATCCGAGAGCTTTCTGACCCTGCATAGACAGCTGACACGTTCAAGGCCCAGAAAGGTAGTAAGGATATTGTTAAAATAGTCCATGTGACATCAGTGGTTCAACTGTAATTTTACGAAGCTACGAGTATACTTTTTGTGCACAAAGAAAACAAAAATAACAATCTTATTAAGTTTCATAACATTATGGTTAAACCACTGATGTCACATGGACTATTTTAACGATGTCCTTACTACCTTTCTAAGCCTTGAACGTGTCAGTTGTGTTGCTGTCTATGCAGGGTCAGAAAGCTCGGATTTCATCGAAAATATCTTAATTTGTGTTCCGACGATGAACAAAGGTCTTACGGGTTTGGACATGAGGGTGAGTAATTAATGACAGAATTTTCATTTTTGGCTGAACTATCCCTTTAATACTATTAACAGACTGTAAATAAATCACCTGGATCTCCATTATCTCCCTTTTTCCCCTCATGCCCATCACGTCCGTCCCGCCCGGGGATGCCATCGAACCCTGGAGTGCCAGGAACACCCCTCATCCAGCGGGCACAAGGCTCCCTCCTGTCTTGCTCAGCCAGCTCTGTGTCCTCCTCCTGAGAGACACTCAGTCTGGCTGCCATTAGCACACAAAGCACAGCTATCCATGCAGGCTTCATTGTAAGAGCCGTGTGATCAATCTGCTGCAAAAAATAAATAAAAACTTTTAGAAAAGTAAATACATCAGGATTAGAATCTTATTAAACGAGCATGTTTTGTCCTACCTGGTCATCAACAGTGTGTCAGTACAGTCTTTTGTGTGGAGTGATAGCCTGAGCTGTTGTCCTTTTGAGATCGTGTGCTAGTTTTTTTCTGTGCTTGTCACTCCTAAAAATATCTGACTGGACATGCAAAGCAGCTGTTCGTATTAAACAACCGGTCACACTATCACACTGAGATAAGACAGTGTGAGAGTTTTGTATATTTATTGTTGTTGATTCATTCCTGCTGCCTGCTAGTCAGTTTAATGCACACTTGGTGTGAATAGCTATTATCTGATTACTTTAGAAGCTTTCTGAATATTGTTAGGGGTATCTGCTTATTTAAGGAAGGTAGAGGAGCAAATTACTGCCTAGTATCCTACTAAGACCCATTTTGTCTGTGATCTATTCATACAATTTACAATACAAAGAGCTGCTAGCATGAGAACAGGAGGAACTTCTATATTATAATCATTGGGGGCCACCTTGTGGCTGATATAATCTGTGCCTCAAGTGCTCAAAGGCCTACTGAGAGGTTAAAATAAGAATAAAATAAAATTATGAATATATGGTTTTCATTCAGAAAGCATGCTTTATTGTATTTTTTTATTTGTTTGACATTCTATTAATCAAAAAATCCTTTTATTAAGAAAGCATGCTTTATTTTATTTGTTTGTTTGTTTGACATTCTCTTGAATCAAGAGATTTCCCTTGAAATCCTGAAACAAAATGCATCATGGTTTGTATTTTAATTTTTTTAACAGCTTTAATTTTTTAACATTCAGAATAAGAATGATTCTTGAGCAGAATATCGGCATATTAGAATGATGTCTGAAGGATCATGTGACACTGAAGATTAATGATGCTAAAAAGTCAGAAATCTTTCAAAAACATTTTGAATGGTAGTGACTATAGGGGAGCGCGGGGCACAAAGTAACACGGGGTTAGTTGTTACACACGTGGTTTGAACATTTCCACACATGCTAGCATAACAAAATTTATGGTATTTACTAGTTGTCATATCAACACTATATACAGAAAAAAGTGCACCAAAATTCAAAAATCTTTTGAAGATATCGCTGAACATTTATTTTACCATAGTAAAATTACATTTCTGGCTTAGGTACATTTTTCATCTCAGTTTTTAGTATTAATTTAAAATGAGGCAAGTCTGCTATTATTTTAATCTCCAAACTGTTATTTAACAGTTTAGATAGCTAAATAGCAATAGACACTAACCAATTTTAAATTCCAGTTGCGCAGATGGGGCGCGTTGTAACACTGCGTTACAATGTGCTATTCTATGACATTAGCAATGTAATTTACACCATTTACTTTAATGAATTTTAATGAGAAACCATGAGGAACAGGTGAATAAAGACTGACAGTCAATGTTTAATGTTCAGAAGTTATTATTTCAAGAAATGTAAAGCATTTTTGCTCATTTATGTGGGCCATCCCGATCCCCAAGCATGGTTGCAATGTGTTCATTGTCAAACTACAAAATCAGACTATTTTTAATTCTTAAAAAACGCCATTATTTTATTTGAAAAAGTTAAAAATTTTATTTTATTGAC